GTCCTGTGGCTTCTCGTGCTCCCGCAGCGGCTTGCGATATACCGCCTGCTCGTATTGCACCGGATATGTGTCGTAGTTCTGGAAATTATAAGCGGTTTTGATTTATTAAAGTTGTTTGAATAACTGTCGGTTTTCATTAAAAAAGACTAGCTTTCGCCCGCGACTCATTCCGCGAAAAAAAAACAAAAGTAAGTAGCCTATGTGTTTTTCCAGCTTATTATCTATATCTATACAAAATTTCATCGAGATCTGTTTAGCAGTTTAGGCTACAAACTCTAACAAACATTCATCTAAACTATCGAAATTATAACATTAGTATGGAGTGTGATTTCATAATACATAATGCATTTTTTTTTAATTTATCATATCCACGTGTGATAACCAGTTTATGGAAAAAAGATACGGAAAGGGAAAGTAGTATGAGGTCGACCTTGACTTAGTTCCACTTTCTCCGCGAGAGTGCGCTCTAAATGTCCTCATTACGAAACATAATAGTGAAAAAAGTTAATTTATATTATTCAACGGACTCATACTATGTCATGGGTTAAGTCTGGAATTACTTTTAAAGCAATTTGCAAATAAAATAGATTCTAGATTACATATCATTCTTTATACTAAAATTGTAAAGAGTGAAGATTTGTATTTTTGTATGTATTGAAATAACTCAAAAACTACTGGTCCGATTTTAAAAATTCTTTCACCTTTAGACAAATTATATCTGGAAGTAACATAGGCCGTATTTTTTTTTATTATTTTTTAATTCTACGCTGCCGAAATTGCGAGCAACAGCAACTAGTAACATATAAAATGGTATTATTACCTAATATTAACCGAGGACGTTTATTTCCCGTGTCGGCAAAATAGCATTTGTTGCTCATAAGGAATTTTTTTTTGCTTTGTAGTTGCTTTTTATCACTGTCCTACAAACCCTTTGTCATTATTGCAACCTAGATTTCAATCTTAGCAGTATATGATATAAAATCAAAGTTAGATTGAAGCGGAGTGTAGGTTTGAGAAATGTTCTAGACTTTACTACGTCAAAGATTAGAGGTAATTTCGACGAAATGTTACCCGTACCCTAGATTTACGGGTTAGATACCCAAAGGCCGTTGCCATAGTACTTTTGACCGAGTGAGAGGGGGCTACTGGCTTGTCATGGCCGCCCGGCGTTTGCGCAGTCTAGAAAGTTCCACACCAAGTAATGAGCCAGGGGTTTCTTAATCGACGGATCAGATGGCAGAATGTTTTCGAACCAGTATCCTAGAGTGGCGCAATTCGTACAATCAAATTTTATTGCTATACATTATGAAATATATTGGATAAATAATTTTGTAACACAGTGTAAAAAGTCGCTACCATTTTTTTTTAGTATATTATTTTTTTAAATAAATCAGTTAAACTTTTAGGTT